TACGAACGAATAGTAGGACTGACCGTCACATTATAACGCCCCCACGGCTGAAAGAGCGAGCATATTTGGTGGGAATATAAAGATATTTAATGAATAAGAAATGAGTGTCGGCTGAAACTTTTTGTCAAACATAAAATTCTGGAGTGATTTTACACATTTTATTGCATTGTAAAATGCCAAGTTGTTTCATTTCACAAGGTAGAAATGTATTTTAGTAAAATATTTATACAAAACATATCAATATAATGTCAAAAACATTTAACTTTTCTTTTTCTGGACTCTTACCAAACTTTTTATCGTCATTCGTAAGTACAATTTACAAACAGATTTTGACGACATTAACAAAAAATATTCATTAAAAATATAATTTTCTGGAATTCAGCATTTTAAGGATATCGTGGGACGTCTTACTTCGGATTTACGAAGCACATTTAGAGTAGATTAGAGAGTTATTGTGGTAAGTAAATCGAATTCGTTCTTAAACGAGGCCAAGAGTTTAGACGTGACGTATCGTATCTGGTGTTCTTCGTAATACCTTTGAATTTTGATATTTAAATTTAAGCTGTCACCCTACCTATGCCAGTGGTACGTTATACAGTTTCTTATTTAGTGAACTGAGATCCATCTCAACAGTATTGAAATAATTAAAAAAATGGCGTATGATAATTATTTATTATTAGTAGTCTTAACGTATGGAAGGTTAAAAATGGCTGACAATGATTTAGTGAGTCTGCTGAGTTATGGTACTGGTAGCACAAATATCTTGCTAGGCATCTTTTTTATAGTTTGATGGTTACAGCTGAAGAGAAAATGTCAAACTTTAAAAAGGTTACCTAGCCAATATTTGGGATATTAATTATAGTAACGTTAACAGTTTTTAAATAGTTTGTAAGTGTAACTCTAGTGTAAGTAAGCACTAAAACTAAAAGTATTATTTCTACATATAATTCTAACTTGTAAGTTCTAATCATACTCGTACATACATACTAAGGTACTATTAGCCATTGAATTTGTAGAAAGGCCATACAATAAACTTTGTGGTGCATATTACATAATGTATAAACCAATACATAGATATGATTGCCCAAATCAAAATAACAGCATGTCAAAATATGATGAATGGAAAATGTAACCAGACTACATGTTGGCTTAGCAACAAGTTGCTTTACATCATATCAATGGGTGTAAACAGACAATATGTTGTCCTGACAACAGTTTGCTATATGTCATAATGTTGGGTGTAGGTACAGTGAAAGAACGTGTGCTACAATAGATAAAAATGGTATGAACAATGTATCAATTACATCATGACATGATGTAGAAGAGGTAGAGATTACTATGGATATGTATCTGTCAATCACGGTATTTCAATTTTACAAAAAAAAAAATATACTACCTATACTTTCATAGCTACATAGGTAAGCTCATACTTCATTATTAACATTTGGTTATTGACAATGTTCATTTCATTTATCCATATAATATGAATCCACTTGTATGACTCTGAAATTGAGGGACTTTATTGGGACTACATTTTATCTTGTCTGGACACCTGAATGAAAAGTTTATAATTTCAAAGATGAAAGTCTGCATTTTATTGAAGACTTTAAACTTTAATGTTCTATTAATGATGTTAATACCTAAATTCAGACAGTTTGCTTTGTTTTTAATTGAAGAGATATTTCTTCCAGTTAGCTCTGATGGATAAATTTGTATGACTTTTTACCTAACGTTAACATAAATATGAAATAGTCTGCAAGTCTAGTGTAAGTAAGCACTAAAACTAAAAGTAGTATCAGGTTACCAGGTAAAGCGATAATTCAGTATTAGTCGCTGACATTTTATTAACATAGTTTCAATGGGAAAGTCATGTGGAATGATAGGTTGATTTTCAGGTTAGATTTTAAATTGTTTTTCATTAATCATGAACTAGATAAATGAAGTTGCAGTGTACATCTACTAAGTTGTGACTGTAGAACCCAAAGTTGGGTGAATTTGTTTGTTAGTTTCATTATTTAAAAATCTCCCTACTAGACTATTGTAGCAAGTTAAGTAATGTCAGATTAAAGATTTCCTAGGTTTTATTTCCACTATATCTAGTGTTTTTTTGTTTTTTTTAAATTATTGCAACACACATTCTTTCATTCTAGCTACACCCAACGATATGATGTATAGCACACTGTTGTCAGGACAACATATTGTCTGTTTACTCAGATATGATATGATGTAAAGCATCTTGTTGCCAAGCCAGCATGTAGTCTGGTTACATTTTCCATTCATTATTTTTTAACATGCTGTTGGCTTGATTTGGGCAAATATATCTATATATCAGTTTATGCATTATGTAATATGCACCACAAAGTTTATTGTATGGCTTTGTTTCTACAAATTCAATGGCTAATAGATGGTTTTAAAGTTTTGTTTCGTGTTTTCAAATCTAAAATGCTTCTGTATCCAATAAAACCACTCAGCATGAAGAGAGCTATCATTTGATGTATCACTGATTCTTATTGGTCCAGCAAATTTTAACCGACACCAAGATTTTTGGTTTTGACATTTGCTTGCTGGTCACTGCTAAATGTCGGAGAATGGGTTTAACAAGCATTGTGATTTTTGTAAAGCTGATGTACAACTAGTGGGAGTACGGTTGTCTTGAAACAAATCATGCAAATTCAGTGTGTATTAGTGCTGTATATATTTTTCATATGTTGTTATAAATGTTCATATGTTGTATAAATGTTGTTTTGTTTATGTGAGATTTATATATTTGGAAGTACAATTTCACATTCACATGCTTTCGTGGCCAGGAACTATAATTCTCTGGAACTCCCTACTATTAACATTAATATTTGATCTCAGATCTAAAAGTAAATCATTATTAAGTTTAGGCTTAACATTTAAATCATTTAGGATGAAGCACAAACATCTGTAGACTATGGATACTGTTTAGTTGAATCAGCAGAGTTAATACCAAAATGCAAGTATTTCATAGGCATCAAATATGTTGACCAAATTATTCTGGTGAATTTTTGGTAGATTATTTTAGCAAATCCTATCGAGACACTGAATGTAACAAAAAAACAAACAAAACAGTGAAATGACAACCCATTAGTTACGGTCAATTTCCTACATTAATGTAAGTGAAGAAAAAGAGCTAAGATTATATTTTTAATTGTTTTGATGGTACCTGTGGTTGTAAAAACAAGTGTTTATTATAATCCCCATTATAGTCATGATCAACACTATTCATTATTATTGATAATAAAAAATGTAATTGCTACTACTGCTGTACCATCACAGCCACCACTGCATCTATAACTACTTTGTTACTATTGTTGTTGTGCCTGCTGCTAGTGTTAATTATCACATTAACACTAATTGTGGTTGTTACAGCACTATGTCAGTGTTATTAGCATCATTGTATATGATGTGTATATATGTAAATACTGTGCATATGTAAAAAAAATAATTACAAAATATTTGAAGATAAGACAGTTTTATTTGATACTGTTTCATATTGTTGTCTCTATCTCCTAACATCAAAAATGTAATGTAACATTGTTGTGTACACATGTAAGACACATGATGTGTATAAAACATTTTGCTCTTCATTTGTGTTGTTGCATTCAGTCATATCTCTACAAGAAATCTGTGAAAGTAGCATATCTGACCATCAACCTCAAAAAGCTCTCAAAAAAGCTGCAAGGATAGTGTTTCCATTTGCCTGCCAAGCCATCTATGTGTCAATTAACAAGAAAAAAAATAAAATGTTTACCTTAAAGATGAAGTAGGATTGCTCCATTCTCATTGGAAAGGTCTCATCTCAAAGATTACTGACTTGACCTGAGCAGACAACTGCATCATATCAGAGATTCTGATCAATACAATGAAGTAGGATTGTTTTATTCTCATATCAAAGATTACTGACTTGACCTCAGCAGACAACTCCATCATATCAGAGATTCTGATCAGTACAATGATGTAGGATTGTTTTATTCTCATATCAAAGATTACTGACTTGATCTCGGCAGACAACTCCATCATACCAGAGATTCTGATCAATACAATGAAGTAGGATTGTTTCATTCTCATATCAAAGATTACTGACTTGACCTCAGCAGACAACTCCATCATATCAGAGATTCTGATCAATACAATGAAGTAGGATTGTTTTATTCTCATCTCGAAGATTACCGACTTGAACTCAGCAGACAACTCCATCATACCAGAGATTCTGATCAATACAATGAAGTAGGATTGTTTTATTCTCATCTCGAAGATTACCGACTTGAACTCAGCAGACAACTCCATCATATCAGAGATTCTGATCAATACAATGAAGTAGGATTGTTTTATTCTCATCTCGAAGATTACCGACTTGAACTCAGCAGACAACTCCATCATATCAGAGATTCTGA